ATCGTTGGCTATGCATCGAGATGCGTATCGTATCGGCCTCAGTCATGAGATGCACATCCTTAAATATATATATATATATATATATATACACAACATATACATATATATATAAAAATAACAGTTCTGGATCCGACATGCATATAAAGCCCCCCATATATTACAGCTGTTAATTTAGACACAGGAAATGAATAATACAAGGCTGTTACCACATGCTCCAGCTGACAGATCAATGATGGCTTGCATGACAGGATGTGGAGCCATTGTTAAATTCTTCTATTTTGCATCACTTTCTGTAAAGTGCAGGACAAAAGGTTTTGCTCAGATTCACCCATATTAACTCACATTTACTATAGTATATACACATGCAGAATTGATTAAGCTGAACAGTGATTCCAACTTTGCTAATGTATCACTTTTTTGATGTAACCTAACCGGTCAAACAGGTTTTGAAAAAATGTCTACAAATGTTCACGATTCAGTCCGACTTAATCAGAGAGTTCACTCACACACTGAATAGTTTGCAGTGGCCTCTCACAATGTGACAGGATACTTTATAAGGCAGCAAACAACAAGAACAATAGATCATCACACAGAACATTCACAGAGAAAGCATTGCCATTGTTTTTCTATGTAAACATGTGACACATTGACGTCTTTTACCATACGCGCTAACGTCTGGCATCTTTTGTAACCGCACATAAAACAGGTCTAGGAGTCTTTAGACAAAGGGTCTCCAACCCTGCTCTTGGTGAGCTACGGTCCAGCAGATTTCAGCTCCAACCCCAATCAAACACACGTGAACCAGCTAATCAAGGTGTTCAGGGTTACCTGAGTATCAAATTAACTTTAAATATAACTTTTTGATGGGGGCCCTGTGCCCAGTACACTGGAAAACAATGGTGTAGAATTTTTTTGTTCACTTAGACATTACTAGTAAATTTCACAATTTATTACAAAGGAATGGCAAGTAAAACGCTGAATTAAACATTATTTTTCATAGAAAGACTATTTTCTATTAAGACTATTTTTAAAATATTTTCTTGTTAAACATAATCCAATATTCTTGTTAAAAATGATCCAAAATCATTCTCACTGTGTACTGGTTGAAGACATGCTCCTGCAAGGTACTTCCCAAAAAATATAGGACTAGTGCAAATACCATGTTACATATAAAAAAAAGAAGAAGAAGGAAAAACAGGTATACCCTGGTCCCACACGTCCAAAAAGTTCATATAGTGGCATACAGTAGCACAAAAAATGTAAAGAGAAATTAAAAAAATGACCATAACCCGTCACAGAACATTACATAAGTTTATTGCCTAAGTAAGAAAGAGGGTATTTATATCTGAATCAAAAGTTGCTAAAAGTAGCCAAATCAAATTTTAAAATAGCTTAATTTGTTGCTAGGTGCTTTTGGAAGAAAAAGTTGCTAGGGTAGTCTGAAAAGTTGCTAAATTTAGCAACAAAATTGCTAAGTTGGCAACACTGATTGTGACACAAGGTCACTTCATCAAACGCGATATTTGAGCACAATAAATTTCATGGACACTGAGGTATTTTAACCACTAGATGGTAGAATAGCCTTGAGTATAGTGCCATCTACCTGAACCTCCTGCTGCTGTGAAAAACACTGTGGTTTTCAGAGTCCTTAGACTGTATTAGATACCTAAGCATCCAAACTATGCACAGATTACATGCGGTCATGAATCCTTACAAACATTTTATGCAGGTACAGTATGGTCTATTGATATTAATGTAAGAATAAAATTCCCCTTGCACACATAGTTTAGTTTCTTTAATGTAAAAATCATTCAAATCAATATAATTATTTAATCATGTATTGATAATATATAATATTAAATTTATTATTAAATATATTAAGTAATATATTGCAAATAAGTGTATTTTGTATTTATAATAAATACACCAAAATAAACAGATAATATGTCTTGTCCGCATTTGGTTCTCCCCTTTTGCTTTGATCTTTTGATCCAGATCAAAAGCAAAAAGAGAATATAAGTCCATATATCCAATTGTATTAGCATTAAAGAATTCTTTATTCGTAAAGACTCGTAATTATTCGTCTGTGATCAACGAAAACATCTTGGTTGGAAAGTTAAGCGTCGAGGCAGTTTCTGTTTCTTTTTGTTTTCTCGCTTTGATTTCGATTACTATTTTGTTACAACGTAATTAAACAAACAAAACTAACTGCGTATGTGTATGTACATGCAATATAATGTAGCTAGAAGCCATGCGGTCAAAATCGCAATTAAGTGTTTTCATAACACCCAAACGTGAAAGTTTGTTTACTAATTTTTAAAGGACGAAAACACCGCTTGTTTCGCTTTCAAAAGCGCGCCTGTGATTGGCTGTCGGCATTGCCGTCAATCATGTACGTAGGCGGCGTTAGGTGACATATGATAGTGAGTTCCAGTAAGCGCACTTAGAGTTTTAGTACACAGACATTCAACAAGCGACAGCAGCAGGACTATCACATAATACTGGACTGGACTGGATTACAAAACTTTATAACAACACCAATCTAATGCCGTTCTACCACATTGTGACTTTTAAGTCGTTTCCAATGTAATTAAGTCAGTTTAAAGTAACTGTATTTTCTTTCTGTTTGTTCTTTCGCGTTTCACGACATATTTTTTTTGACAATCATATGTGACATTTTTAGAGACAAACAGTATTGCTGGTACCATGGCTGACGCAGCCCAAAACCAGATGGTCGAGATCGACCCGGATTTCGAGCCGCTCTCCAGACCCCGCTCCTGTACTTGGCCGCTGCCGCGGCCGGAGTTCCCCAACCCCGCCGCCGCCGACTCCAACACATCGTCCCCGGCTCCGTCCGTCAAGCAAGAGCCCTCCAGCAACACGGACTTTATCAACAACCTCAGTTTGCTGGAAGAGAATGAGGACTTCCCTGATCAGAAGCCTCTCATGTTGTGCGGCGATTTCCAGTGCCAGGAGAACTGCATCCACCAGCAGCAAATCCCGAGTCACCAACAACAGGTGCCCGTGCTCTCCTCTCCGGTGGCCGCCGCCGCTGCAGCCGCTCAGCGCAAAAGCAGCTCGTCCAGACGCAACGCCTGGGGGAATATGTCATACGCGGACCTGATTACCAAAGCCATCGAGGGCTCCCCTGAAAAACGGCTCACCTTGTCTCAGATCTACGACTGGATGGTGAAAAGCGTCCCTTATTTTAAGGACAAGGGGGATAGTAACAGCTCCGCTGGTTGGAAGGTATTTATGTTTTCAGTTTTGGTCTGTACACTCATGCGTCAGTCAGTTGCGCCTTGTGTTTTGGGTTTTTACGCCAACCAGTTCAACTTCTGTAAACGCGTCTTGGTTACCATGGTTCTCATTCAGTTGCGCTCCCATCCAGCTGTTATGAAAACAAAAATGCGTCTTGTGTGAACGTCCCCATGACATGCGAACTTTTGGGGTTTGCGCAGTTGGTATTGATTCTTGCTGTCCTGAGTTTCAGGGGGTGATTACTCTGTATCTCTCCACTTATTGTTTTAGGATTGTCATGGGATTGTCAATGGTCTCCATTCATAGGACAGATGATTGCTTCTCATTACAGGCAGCACATGGCGAGGTGGTGCAGTGCAGTCAATAGATCAAGTGCTGACCCATGTCACATGACATGTCCCGAGTAACAAGTGTTTTATATATATATAGCCTGCTGACAGCAAATACTTGTAGGATCTTTCCACATTTCCAGGTAGAACTTGTTGGAGTTGAAGTTAGGACAGGACAAAAATTTGGACCCATCCCCAATACCAGACCCCCTAAGTGCCAGACCACTACAAAAGCCGCTAAAGGTCTGGTCACATTAGCAAACTGTGATTTGTTTATTTTCAATAATGTAGTGAAGTCTGAACTAAGCTCAGACAGATGTCACTTAAACCAAACAGCTTTCTGTTGGTAAACACATCAAACTCATGCAACTAACTTTAACCCTGTATTTCTCGAGCAAGAATTTGCATAACAATAGTAAATATGACCACACCTTGAGACCCTTAAAACCCAGACCAATACATGACCATCTAAGATGCAGACCAAGACAAGACCCCTCAAGGCCCAGATTCAGACCTAGAGTAGCATTGAGAAAATGCAGCGTTTATCCAATACATTCATGAAAATTCTAAACTATTTAAGTATTTTTGCCGAATTGGTGGCCAGTATTAATTTGTATGAATCTCATTTGTACTTTTACATACAATCTGCCCACTGACGGATAGATTTAGGGACGGACCTTCATACTTTTTTCTAAAATCTGTACATTTTCGTACAAATCACATTGTACAAATTCAAACAAAATCGCCACCTCGTAACTAAAATAGTTGTTTTCTCATCAGATCTGGTTGAATTTATTGCAATATTTAATCAAGAGAATCAGAATTCAACTTATTTTCATTTTTCCAAAAACAGAAATTCCAATATAGTAAACAAATGTTATATTAATAGTTTTGATTAACTGAATAAGTATTGTCAATAAAAAAAAAAGCTTAAATGGAATAAATAATGTTTTTAAGGTCATGAAAAGACACCACACAGACTAGAGGTTGAGTTTTTTTTTCCTGAGGTTGAGTCTTCATTCACTCGAAGTAGAGTTCAACATAAGTGTGATCCATAAGACTAAGCTTTGGTCATGTTTATGTGTCATGAAGATCGACTGCTCTGCTAGATCAAACACTAGCAGAAGATACGTGGATCCCAATAAATCAGTTTGGGTGACACATTGTCTTACGTTGTTGTACCACCGGTATGCCTGAACCACCCTGGCAACCGGAGAAACAGGAAAACAGTGCTTTTATATCCATGGAAACCTCTTCATTAAGTGGGTCCAAAGTTGTGTTGTTAGGTATAGTGCATCATCACACTGCACGCTATTAATATCCACGGGATTAACTGTCAATACCCCTCTGATGTTTGCCAAGTATGCAAGCATGGCGGTCTACGCATACAAAGAAAGATCCGCTCCACCCTCTGATTTATTGTGTGTCTGTGTGCCAGCATTCCACAGTTGTCATGCTTTTGTGCATCCGTTGGTGAAGCATTGATGACTGAATGCATTTGGAAAAGGGTGCGTTTTACCTCTCTTATCTCTGAAGACACAAAATTCTTAGTAGCACAGGCAGCACTCAGCGGCTTTCCCACTCTTATCGGAAGCACATCTGATAAACCCAATGTCAAATCTGTGTGTGTTTGGGTTGAGGTTGTAAAACTGATATGATCTGTGCGGTGATTGGATGCTCAGTACATGTGACTCATAATGGGGCAATGTTTTTGAGAACCACAGGAAATTTCCCGCAGGAACTGTTCAATTTTATTCTGATCTCATAAACAATGTGGCGCTGGTAATGA